CTGCTGTGGGCAAAGGTTCCCTTGATTTTTGTGATGGGCACTGGCCAAGTTCTCAAACTATGGCTGTGATCTGGAAGATAATAATGAGGTTCAGGTAACTTGTTTTGCAGGAAATTGTTTAAAGAATATCACTTTTGTGATAATGATAGAAAGCATGGTATCAGCTTGCCAGGGCAAGGGCAGTTTATTGCCCTTCTCTGGTACACCTTGAACAGCCCAGCGATCCGCTCCCCAGCCCGATGGACTCTGGGTGTGTATTTGCAGAGTGAAATATTGCTGTCTGGCCTTAATGTACACAGCAGATCATTTCTTTTCCTCTCATCCAACACTATATGCTGTGCCCTTGAGTTGCTGTTTAGAATGAGACTGTGAGGATCTCTCTGAGATTCACTAACTTGGATCCTTGTTTCTGAGTCAACCACATCATGGTCTTACTAAGAAATATATTCAGCTTTCAAATCTATTCAGCCATCCTCCCCACTCCTGCTGGAGTTAATCCCAGAACCTCATTTCTATTTTTTATCCTGTATTTGTTCACAACCACTTTCTATACAGTCTTTCTTCTGGTAATACCATTCCATCAATTAAACATTTCTTTTCCCCACAGGTTGTTTACTTTTCTGGAGGTGAGAGCTGTCACAGTTCCCTCTCTGGCAGCATTTTGTTAGTCTAAAGATGAAACACTCTCAGTCTTGCTTTAAAGCGGGTTCTTTATTCCCCATATCCTTACAGTAGCACCTGCCTGTGCCTATTTAAATTTAAATTTGGACACACCTTTCCCCAATACACACACAACCAGAAGGAAACAGTATTCCAGTCTTCCCAATGGCGTCAAAGATTCCCAGTTCTGCTAGAAACATCTTCATTCATCTGAGAATTTCATTATGTGAAAATCTTTTAGTCCATCAGGGTAAATCCCAAGGGATCACCCCAGCATCTGTGAATCCCACATTCATTCTGCAGGCAGCTCTCTCCCTGCTGATCGGATCTCCTCTCTGCTGCAATCTATCCTGTATGAATTTGTTTCATCAGTCACACAGCCAGTATGACTTTAGCATTGCACACCAAAATGTTCTGCAATGCATGGAAACTCTGGCTGTGGGTATATGCCAATAATCATCATTGCACACACGCTTTCCACTTTCAGACTGCAGAGAAAATTGAAAACAAATAGCAAGGGCTGCAGCAGACACATGGTTATTGGGCAGAGGACAAGCATGAATGAAGTCTTCGGTTCTAGTTATAGATCTGACAGTCACTTGCTCTTTTGTCTTTATGTCAGATGTAAAGCTTCTATAAAATGGAGTAATAGAATTTGCTTGCCCACATTGCATGGGTAAATCTGAATGATATTTCATGTTCGTACAGGAGACTGAATATGTAACCTGCCAAGTATTTACTATCACAATCACTTTTAGACTAAAAAATGTAGCTCCCACAGTCTGTGAGCAAATATAATTGACAACACATATCATTTTGTGCATGGGCACCATGAAATGAAAATCGTAACTCCACATGAAAGGTTTTTTCTGAAGGGACTCCCAGTTTCATTAGCTATCTAGGTAACTTACCTCCAAATATAAAACACATTCAGTTTCTGCTTCTGTACAAAACTACCAGAAATGTATATCTAAAATACAGACCTTGAGTGAAATAAACATTTACCAGCACCACCAAAATACAAACACAGCAGAAATGCGTGTATTGGAATCACAACCTGACCAGACTGGGCGCCCGATCCTGTCCCTGCCCATACCAGGCAGGGTGTGTGAAGTGTTGCTCAGCACACACAAGAGTGGCAGAACCCAGCCACGTGTGAAATGCAAACTGGAGTCATTGTCAAAGCAGCAGCAGCAGCACTCCAAGTTAAAAAAAAAAAAAAAAAGCAGGAAGAGATGACACTTCTGGAGCAGAGCTGAAGATCATCACCGCTCTGAGCTCCAGGAGCCGAGAGGGCTCGCAGGGTGAGATGGACAACTACACGTTTAGCAGTAGGACTGAGGAGACTTTCCATCCCCTGCCTGTGACCGACTCATCTGCTTCCATTTGCAGCACTTCCCCGTCTCAGGCACTAGCGCTTTCCTGCCCCACCACCCGACAGGAGGTGGGGGAGCGCTTGTAGCCACCCAGGCTTATGCTCACAAAGCTGTCACCACAGGAGCTCACCTCCCCAGGACCTTACCTCTAACCTGGAGAGCACTGTCCTTGGCAGAAGGAATTTGCTCAGAAGACCTTCATGTTCCTCAAAGGATGGGTTATAAGGAGGTGACAATTCCCTCACACACTGCCTGCTTTAGTCTTTTTGAGGTCAACTGGAGTTTGGTAGCCATTTTCCTGAGAGTGAGTTCTTAAGGAACTGGAAGGAAACTGGGGGGACAAGGAGGGGGCAATGCTATGACCAAGAAAAAGTCCTATAGGGAAGAAAACCATGGGTTTGGTGCAAGGAGAGGTGCATGCACAACAAATGAATTTCTGTAGAAATGAATGGCAGCAATGAAGGCAAGGCTTGCCATTCCTACGTTCCTTATTTCATAGTAATACCAAATAAAAAAAGCCTCTCCATCTCCACCTGCCCTTCCTGAGAAAAAAAAACAAACAACCCCATCTCCCAGGGTATCAAAGAAATCTACAAGGAAAACAAAACAATTCTAACATTTGGAAAAGATTCAGGACCTGGTTCAGGTACTCCAGACCAGGTGGCAAGTTATGAGTGTGTGATGTTTGCTTCCAGAGACTTGTTGGTTCCACAGGCTTATTCTGTTCCGGAAGGTCAGAAGAACCAGGGAGGTAATCCTTAAAGACTGAGTTGGTTTGTCCCTGAGATTCTGCAGGAAAAGAAAAAAAAATAAATCTGAAATGAACAGGAACAAACAGCAACTAGCTGCTTGGACCAAAACTGAAACAATAACGTCACATTCTGCCTGTGAATGTATCAGCATTTTAGTTCAGATCAGGTGTGAGGATCTGAAATGAATCTCCTGGTGGTCCCACACTTTGAGCACTCTGATTCACTTTATAAAACAGTCCTAGAGTATGCAAAGTGGAATCACTATAGATGAAGCTAAACCGGGAGATGTGGTCTTGGAGGACACCTGATCCACTCTGACAGCTTGCGAGCGCTCAGTCAGTGGGACAGGGCTGGAGCTGGTCTGGACTCACACAAAGGGTGGCCACAAGCTCCTCAGCACGGGCTGCTCAGCCCTGCGTGCTACTGTACACCGAGCTGCTGAGGGCTCGCTGCTAGCAAGATGCGTTCTAGCATCTTGAGGGCATGCATATTTTCTCTTAATTAGAGATAACCTTTCCAGGGATCTCAGATTCCCCAAGCTGGATGTTACAACCCTGGTATCAAAGCCTACACAGCCTCTTACAGTGTATTATTCATTATTATCTTAATGAAAAGATCAGATATCATTAAGCCGTGTTTTCTGGTTGCTATTGCAAACACGTCCTTTAGGAAACAGCAATGGTTGCCTTGGCTCGTGCTGCGAAGGAAAGGAGAGTATTTAATGTTACGGGCACCTGTATGCCCACACCCCTTCATACGCACAGGCACCGTCCCCCACAGTGCCGCGATCACCTGAGCCATTTGATTCTCAACAAACTCCTACTGGTTTTACTATGAGCATCTTTCCGCAGCCTTCAGTAACACTGGCTCTGCCGGAACAAGAGCAAGCGAGCTGAAGCTCTGCGCATATAAATACTAAATCCTCATATTAAGCTGAGCCCCTGCGCTTTGGCAGTAAAGCAGTCCCCAAACTGATCATTGTTATCTCATGTGTGACAATACTTTGGCAGGATGGGGTTTGAGGTTCAGAAGGAATTTTGGCTCTAGGTCTGAAGTTCTCTTTTGCTGTTGTGGGTTTAAATGAGATTCTTTAGCATTATTTGAACTCACTATGGATGATTCATCGTTTAATCATATTTTGATCTTAATTTATCTTTGCAGCCACTGCTTTCTTTTAAAGTCTGAGACCACAGGAAGAAGTAGCAACCCCTTTGAATTTGTAGCTGTCTTTTAAAAATGTATAACTGGATAATAAATATTTTATATGCTCTTCTGCATCATTTTACCTCTCAGGGTTCTGTTACTGCCGTAACTCTTGTTGTTACATGAAATGCCATGAAGTGGCCGAGTGTTAGTGTTATTCTCCAATAATAAAGAGAAAAAAAAGACAACAAATTGCAGTTCTACCTGTCAAATTTTAAGCTATACAAAAATCAAACAGTAAATACATTAAATATTGATGACAATCTGAGCTACTCTGACACACTGTCTATTTTTGTGGATGTTTCCCATTTCATTTATGGTATGGGAAAACTTAAAAGTTACCATATGATGCAGTGAGCATTCTGTACAATCACAATCTGTAGAGTTACTTCTTCCTAAAAGAAGTATACTGTCAAGTTCTTTCATTATGAAAACCGTATTACACAACATGACTATCTTGCTGCTTCTCTTAACTACTATGTATTAAAAATATATAAAACCAGATCTCTCTTATATGGCTAAAGATAAACAAAATGTAAAAAAATGTATATGCCAAGAGTGCAACAATGCTGTGAAACTTGCTTGCTGCTGTATAACTTTTAGTGCCGTAAGTGCAGAATGTTTTGAGTATTATTTGGGGAGGAAAAAAAAAAAGAGGAGTAAACACTTGGCAAACATCAATTGACATTGCTGAAATTGCCTGGGCCAACATCCACCTCTGTACGTCACAAGGTGACCTCTGTGGAGTTGCATTCATGTTAAGAAAAAAGAGATTTGTGTCCTTCTACTTAGTTTAACTGTTTGAAGGCATGGACAAGATTACTTTAGAAGGCTTGTTAGATCATCAGCACACTGCAGTGTTTGCCTATAGCCCCGAGTACCCAACCGGCTGCAGCTAAAAGACAATACATGACAAAGATGAATCCAGAAAGGAGTAATCTGATTAAATTCAGTTATTCTTCAGATATTTATTTTTTCTTATGTCTATCAAGACTCTGACCAGTTTTGCAAGTGAAAAGCATTTGCTGATTTGGTATTTTCAAAGTGGAATAGGAAAGAAGCGTACAAAGATAGTGGTACCTTTTGGCTCAGTACCTGCCCTTCCCACGCATTCTGTACCGACAGGTTTAAGCACAAAGACACAAACACTAAATCTTCTGATTGAATACGGATGCTAACATTTTGTAACATATTTTATTCAAACAACATTCTAGTATAGATTTTAGTCTCCTTAGGAGCCTCTTGAATGCTGAAAAATTAAAGGATGCCAAAACAACTGTGCTTTGGCTGATGTGGTTTTAGCCTGAAACTCTCACTTCATCAGACTGCTGATTGCTGGAAACGTACAAGACAGTAGTTTTCTGTAAACATGATCTAAAAATACAGACTATAGATGCACTTACCTTGTGAGGCCATGAAGCTTCCCGAGTTACTTCTTCAAAGGAAGCCAGGTTAAAAGAAAAGGCTTTTCTTGTTGCAGCAAAGAAAAAAAGAGCACAGCATGCACAAAACTTCAGAAGGTGTCTGTCTACTTCATATCAGCTTACAAAGAGCTGGAGGAAATGTATTGCCTTTCTCATGTTCCAGAACACTGCATTTTATGTCTATGGACAACAGGGGGAGATGATGCTAACAAACAAGAAAAACATTATTCGTTTCAAGTCGTTTGCACCAATGGAAAGAGGAAAAAGTGTTTTGTGAATACAAAGAGGCAAAACTTCAATATATCCACTGGCTACACATTAGACCTAAAATTCTGCTTTACAATGTATGTGTATATCCTGAGACTATACAAATTCTATCTTTATAATTCAATATTTATGTTTCTGTTTCTTCGGAGTATCCAGTAAAGACAGAGGAGCTAATTACCTGCATTTCCCTATGGCTGGCCCCCACTCAACATCTCCCATGCACAGGGCGGGAAAAGCTGCCTTGGATTTCTCACTGTATTCCATCCGTGTAGCACCAGCCTCCCCTACGAGGGGTGTCATGCCTGCACACAGACCCAGAAAACGATCCTGTACCCCCCACCCCACACACCACCCCCCTGCCTATGCAGGGCTCTGCTGATCCGTGTGAGGTGTTTAAACTGGATTTGGAGTATTAAAACAGACTGGCTGTGCTTTGCTCCAAACAAGCACCGTCCATACCGAAACGTAACACACGTAATCGCCCGCATTGCACCGAGAGGGAAGGAGGAGGAGGAGGAGGGAGAGTAACCTTGACTTACCAGCTCATATTTCTGCCTCAAGTGCCCAAGTCGCCATGGAGATCATCACACACATGCGATCTGCAGACAGATATGAAGCATGGCTGCAAAAATGGCAGAGCCTATGCACAGAGCCCGGCAGAGCAGAGGGAGGTGTTGGGGACCATTTTCTGTTCTCTCTGCTACTGCAAGTCCTACTGATTTGAAACGCTTTGTGGCAGCATGTCCGAGCAGATTTAATTCCAGAGTATACGGTTCAGGAAGATGCTGATGAGGATCTCTGAAGGAAGAATACAGAAAACTCCTCTAAAAAAATTATATAGAAGATGATTTTTATTAACTGCTTTAGTTTTAGTCCATGCAAAGGCCTCAGGTCTACCTATGGAACATGTAAAAATTTGGTGTTGTGAAACTTTCCAGGAGTTCATCATTTCCTGCTTGAGAAGTCTCTGGGTGCAGTGGCAGCACAGCCTGACCCAGCAGCCGGTCCCTGCTGTGCTCACCCTGGGAAAAACCATGTGAAGGGAGAAGACAGCCCACAGACAAAATCTTTGGTTGGTGAAAAACTGCACTAAACAAATCCCTCTGGCTGCAGAAGAAGTTTGAAATCACTTTTTGCTTCCTTCCTCCCTGTCAAAAATGTGCTGCTTTGGAGCAGGGGATCTAACTTGGAGAGCAGACACAAAGCCTAAACAAAGAAGTAAAAAGGAAAGGGAAAGCTCTGGATAAATATAATAAACCTAACTTTGAAAATGGCAGATGAAAACTCAGATGAGACGGCACCCACCTACCTTTAAAAATTAATAAAGACTTATTATAGCTCCCAGAAAACCAAACAAAAGTAAAATCCCAATAGTTCTGTCAATGTACAAAGCAAGCGCAGTACAGTAAGAAAAATGTGCCTAAAATAGAAAACACATACATATGGTGAAAGGCGATGTTTCAAACATTTATAAAAAGCATTTTTGAGAAGTCCAAGCAGCTCACTTGCTGACCTGGAGGAACACACGGACACCGATGCAGCCTGTCTGTGCTGTACTCGGTACCCATCACACAGGACCAGTCCCAGCCGTTCCCACGGCGTTTGCGGGCTCTGGGACAGGGCAGCCTGGTGGTGCTGGGAGCTGCTGGCACCGCAGCATCAGGCTCCTGGGCAACAGCCACCACGGTGGCACAGGCAGGTCTGCCCGTCTGCAGGAGCCAGGTTTCATCATCCTGCCACACATGAAATAAACATTTCCCTGAAGCAGTTCTGCCCAAAAGAAGTAATTTTCTGATATTATTTACAAAATTGTAGTAAATAAGTAATAGAAAAATAGAAGTACATATTATAGAAAGATTGAAGTACATATTCTATTTTTCCATTTCTCTCACAATTTTCTGTAGATGTCTCCTCTTACCCCATTCTTATTGTTTTATTCTGAAGCAATAATTTTAGTAGATTACATCAATAGATTTACAATAGATTGTAAACAGTAGTCTTGCATTGGCATAGATCTTTACAAACAAAACTATATATTTAATAGTTTCTTTAATCTGAATATTCAGTTGTTTGTTTATTTGTTTTTAAATAAGTACTCAAATACTGGTCAAAATCTACTCCAGCCATGATTAAAAGCAGCTTCACTATGGACTTCAGGAACAGAAGGCTTAATCACGTTTGTCCAAGCACAAATGCAGCCATCCTTTTGTGATATTTCATGGAGTCATAGAATGGTTTAGGTTGGGAGGGACCTTAAAGATCATCTAGTTCCAACCCCGCTGCCATGGGTAGGGACACCTCCCACCAGACCAAGTTGCTCAAAGCCCCATCCAGCCTGGCCTTGGACACTTCCAGGGATGGGGCAGCCACAACTTCTCTGGGCAACCTGTGCCAGTGTCTCACCACCCTCACAGGAAAGAATTTCTTCCTGATATCTATTTTAAAATCTCCCCTCTTCCAGTTTGAAGCCATTACCCTTCATCCTATCACTACATGCCCTTGTAAAAAGTCCCTCTCCAGCTTTCTTGTAGGTCCCCTTCAGATACTGGAAAGCCGCTATAAGGTCTCCCTGGAGTCTTCTCTTCTCCAGGCTGAACAACTCCATTTAGAAATACACAGGAAAAAAATACTCAAGAAATCAGGAAAAACATTCACAGAATGTTTCTGGCCAGCTGTTAAGGACCTGAGGAAGCAGAGCAGCAGTACCCAAAGTGGGGTTCTGCCAAGACATTGAGCTTACTGTCTCTGTCCCTTGCAGAAGGCTCCCAGGGATCACTGTCTACATTTACTCTAGCATGAGGAGTCTGAACATGCTCCCTTCCTCTATATGAATGTGCTGAACATCTGTAACACAGTCACAGGTATAGATAAAATAAAATAAAATAAAATAAAATAAAATAAAATAAAATAAATAAGCCAATTGTGCATACATGTATTCCCTCTACCTGTAAAATATACTTATTCCATCCCATGGTATACAGCTTATAAAGAGTGCTGGGCAAACCCATAGAAGATGCAAGTTATCATGGATCCATTAAAATCAATAACACTATTCAGATTAGGGCAAGCAGGGCTTGGCTGGAGGAGTTTATACATCTAGAATCTTCCTTTTTTCTTTAAAGAAAAGTTACATTGCATCTTCTCTATAACTACTACTTCTCCAAAAGCACAGGGATCCATCCCTGCTAAGCTGACATACAAACATCATTGTAGCTAATGGTTAGTAAACAAATTACTGCAGCCTGTAGGAAACCTATCCATGGACTGAGACATCATTGTCTCAGATGGCACAGAGCCAAAACACAGATTTTCCTCAAGAAAGTATATAGTATTTGTCAACCAGGTAGAACAATAGAGCAAAGATAGCATATGGCTCAGCATAGGTGCTGCTTTTCTGGAGCCTTAATCACTCTTCTACAGGCACCACAGCCAGAGCATGGCAACGGTTTCACAAAAAGCACCTTCACTGGTTGTCAGAGGCACCAAGAGAAAAACAGGAGACAGCAGCAAAGTTGAAAGTATTAGGAAAAGCTGTCCGGCTCCCTGCTGCTCAGAAAACTGCCCGATAAACTCAGTGCAAGATATTTGCCCTTGTATTCAGCAGGGAAAAGATGACACTGCCCTTTCCCCGCTGTATCACCATCGGCTGCCCCAGGTAAGCAGGAACTGCCTCTCCCCCTGTCCCCACAGTCTAGACAAGTTAATGTGAGAGCTCAGCTCCTCCCCGCCTGCCCGTACCGAGCTCTGAGCAGCCAGGGATGCGCTCTGCCATCCAGCAGGCAGGATCAGGACAGCATGCAGGTGCCATGAAAGGCAACCCAGACCTCACTGAGCAATGCCTGAGCTTCCCTCCTGCTAAGAGGGGCGATGGCTAATGCCCATTTCCATTTTATATTTCGTTTCCTCAAAATATCAATTGTCACCAGTGTTAAAACATGTTGGTATTGTCATTTTTTTACTAGGAGATTATACAGCCTTCCTACCTTTCCTAGGTGTGCCTTTAGAGCAGAGAGAAATGCTGAGCACGAGCACAAGTATCAGAGGGTGACTCTGTGCAAAAAGAAGCTCCAAGTTACAGATTTTTACCCAGTTTTGCTTTCTGCACTGGAAAAAAAAAAAAAAAAAGAAAAAAATCAATTTTTTAAATAAGCGGCCACCTAATATGGATCTCACCTTGAACTTTGGGTTGTGAGGCGTCCTGCTGCAGCTCGTGTCTACAGTAACTCCTCCCCTCCGAAGACGTCTGCAATCATGTTGAAATACCGCAGGCAGCACCCGGCATCGGCAGCGCTGAGCGGCTGCCCGTGCTGACGGCACGTATCGCACCCCGCACTACGGAGCAGCCTGCTCTCCTTTCTCTGCCCATGGCAGGTTTACTGTAGCTATTCCCCAAGGTGACTGTTGTGCATGAATTAATAGAAAAATACAGCCTTTAAAATAACAGCTGTTTGGCGCTCTGCTCTTTATTTTGCATTTAAGTGAACTGGGAGAAATGGAGTGAAGATAGCAGTCTTAAAATGATTGTGTAAGAACAAGAAAGAAATCTTTCAAGCACCTGGATTTAGAAACAGTACATGGGTATTGAATAGGTATCAGAAATTTTAATGCTCCCCCCAGCAAGTATGGATACAGGTCAGAGCCTAGATATAGATGTCAGCAAAATACAGCAATCAGCTGGAAGTTCATAAACCAGCTTCCGTACCCAATTTTGACACAGTAGATGGAGAAGGCTTTGGGGTTTTTTTGGTTGGTTGTTTTTTGAGGAGGAGGTGTTTGCTTTTGGAGTTTTTTTTCCAGGGTTTTTTTTAGGGGTGGATTTTTGTTGTGTTGAGTTTTTGTTTGGTTGGTTTTGATTGTTTTTAAATCACCTGTAAAATCTTGTTCTGATAAAAACACAGCACGTGGCGGGGCTGTGGGCACCGCTGGTGAGCGCTGCCTCACCCACACGCTGGTTTCCCAGCAGCATGAAATGGTCAGTCCAGAATACTGAATTCAACCCCAGAACCAAATGTTTCAATTTGCATCATATTAAACAGGTTTTAAGATAAAAGCAGAAGTGTGACCATGAAGAGGTTAAATTATGTAAGCAGACCGATGTGATTCAAGCAAAAATAAGGCCAAAAAGGAGCAGCATGCAAGACCTGAACGTTTCTTGCACCAAACCATGTGCCAAACCTCCTCTTTGGTCATGAAATTTGGTTTTGAAATTAGTCTCTCACCTTTGAGTGAATTTGCGCTAATTAATGAGCACTCTGAGGGATTTTTTTTTAAATCTATCCTGAAGCTATTCTGCTTCAGGTAAATATCCTTTCATATTCATTAGGTTTGCGTCTCAGAGAGAATAACTTTATAGCTCTGTGGCAAGAGCACTCTGGAAGTACATATAAAGTTCACTGCTTTAACTGTATTGGAAACAAAAACATTTTATGCTTCTTTTCTGCTTACTTTAGTAAACAGTGCTGTGATGAATCTATTTTGAGAAGCTGAAGTTAATTTCACCTGATTTTATTTTTATTTTGACTTGAAACCATTTGCCAGGTTCAACTGAAATTCACAAACTGTCTCAGCTTCTTTTTGCTTATTAAACACAGGCTCAGCGGTAAGAGAACCGCATCTTGCCCTTTCCTACATGTAACCAAATCCCCCTCAACGCTTTCCAGGCTGAAATCAAGCAGTAGGCATTCTGCCTGGGAAGCCATAAGCTGTCACAAGCCTAACCAAACTGCAACTGCTCAGCAGCCTCTAACAATTGGATCTAGTGCTTGTCTGTAATTAAATTTTACCCATGTAACTCGGCGATAAAATGAGATAAAGTACTCAAACAATATACACTAGTATATTAATAAGATTATTTCTGTCTTCTAGTACATTGAATGACAGAACTTTTGGATACAAATGCAATAAACACTCTTGGTGATGTGACAGAACTACTTCGCTGGCCTTGAAAGGTTATTAAATAAAATTAGAACAATTGTGTTTTGCTGTAGAAGAAAACCTAGTACTTCTTTCAAACTTATCTCTCCTTTTCACAGAATCACGGAATGGTAGGGGCTGGAAGGGACCTTCGTGGAGGTCATCTAAGTCCAACCCCCCCCTTCCAAAGCAGGTTCCCCTAGAGCAGGTTGGACAGGAACACATCCAGGCGGGCTTTGAGAACACATCCAGGCTCCAGAGAAGGAGACTCCACAACCCCTCTGGGCAGCCTGTTCCAGTGCTCTATCACCCTCAAAGTAAAGAGTTTTTTCCTCACGTTCACACGGAAATTCCTGTGTTCCCGTTTATGCCTGTTGCCCCTTATCCTGTCACTGGGGGCCATTGAAGAGAGTCTGGGCCCATCATCTTGACACTCCCCCCAGAAAGTGCACTGGAAAGCCAGAGTATCAGAAAACACTGAGGATATTTTAGATGCTTTTCCTTCTGTAAAAATGACTTAAATTGAAATCAACATTTGCATCAACTGTCACATCAACTTGTCAAGGCACTAGGTAGGATGTGGACAGCCCCAGCTTTGCCCACATTAGCCAACAGTGCAGTGCAACAGCAGCACACGTGCAGAAAGAAAAGACAGGCAATGCAGGACTCGCCCACGCTTGGTGGCTCTGGGTTTTGCTTCGGTTCTCATGCGGCATTTCGGTTGAGCACCACTGGTGGCTCTTGGTCTGCTCCCAGAATGTGTCTTCCAATTTGGTCTCACCCAACTGGAATCAGTTTGCATACTCTGGGACTTCTCCAAAACTACACTTAAGCACAGCAAGCGGGGATGACCAAGAGATTCCCTTAAAAAATTCTGTACAAACTAAATCACTACCATGGACATATCCAGCTGACCACGGTATCTGCCGTCAGATGACACCTTCTATCCATGAAAGACATTTCATTAAGGTGCAACAAATTTTTAGCAGTCATTACAATGTCTGCCTGATGGTTGAGTTTTGCAAGTTCCCTCTCTGGAAAATATAAGGCAACATCACTAAGTTACTCTAGTAGGTCACTGGAGCGTCTGTTTACAAGTTAATCCCCAGTAACACAGATCCAGTGACCCAGAGGTGAAAAGTTATGTGCTTATTTAGAGCATGAGGTGGACAGTCCTGACACTCCCACGAGGGCTACAACTGTCCCAAGATTATCAGCTCATCTGTTCCACATGTTCAGAAAGTAACCATTCAATATTCTAATTCTAAATTCAAACTAAATAAACATTTTTCACTTTTTGAGGGAAGAAAAAGAAGAGAAATGGATAAGACATCCACAAGATTTAATGACATAATGGTAACTCTATTAGGACATCAAAATTAATTTCAGTTTCCCTGAGGTATCTTATTTTAATTAACAAATCCATGATCCTGCTCTATTAATTAGCATACTGAAAGAATAATAAGTTTCAGATGAGCTTAATTCTAATAAAGCTTTTCATCCCCTAAAAAAATAATAAAAGGAATTAAGGATCTCAATCCAGTTTGCTTTCTACATTTAGTAGCAACATTTAGAAATTCTACTCAATAGTACAGAACAACTTTTAGTCTTTTTTTTTTAATTTGAAAATATTTTGGATTTGCACTTACTGTATTTGAGACATTCTGCCTATTGAAAGGATGGCAGTGGCCCACTAAGAAAAGTAATTCTTGCAGTATACCAGCTAATTTTTCATATTGTTTCCTATTAAAATTTATAACCTATAGGGATAACATGAATTTTTTTTAAATCTTTACCCAATGCTGATTTTCCAACAAACCCAAACAACAGCAGTTATCCATTAGCATCCAATCTGGGTCAAATAAAATTCTAGGGGTGTATCTGGGACACCAAGCTGCACAGGAGATGTTTTGTGCCTCAATTTACCTGGACCATTCAGTGGTCACTGAGTGGCTGCTACACTACTGGTCAAATCACACATTTTTATAGGCATGCTAATTCATTAGTCTGCTCAAAGCAGACCTGGAAAACAGATTCTTTGTTCCCAAGTTTGTTATATGTTCCTCTCTTCTTATATCACAGTTTGTTTAGTGGTGAAACATCACAGCAAGTTTTTCCATTTGTTTTTGATTCCTAAATGCAACAGTTTTTTACTTTAGATGCCTGCAAAGCACTTTGCAGATTCCTCGGTATATGAAATAAAAGTAGAAAAGAAAATATTAGCAAACTGCCAAAGGCTCAGGTTAGCAAAAAAAGCTTAGCAGAAAACTTGTCATAAATGAAAACATATTAATGCTTGTAATTTCAGAACTACTTGTCCTGTTAAGACGGCCTGCGTCTTTGACCTAGCACCATCTGTAAAACAAACAAGAGCAAAAGAGGACAGTAGGAAATTATGCATGCACGACTTTTCCAATTAGTATATCATGTCAGCATTTTGCTTATGTATTTCAAACGACCAGGGTGAATATTTCCAATGCTTCACTGAAGAACAAAAGTCAAGATATTTATTATGTATCAGAAAAAGAAATAGCATTAATAGAATATGTAGAAAGAGTTGAGCAATTTAAAAATATGGGTTATAAGGAAAAATGTACGTGAACTTCACTAATACTTCTGCCAGCTCTGTCACTGCACAGTCGCTCTCTCTTCCAGCAATCGTGGAGGAGAGAATGGCAGGAACTGCTCTAGCCAGTAACAAGATGCTCTGATAGTTAAAGTTGGTCCTGCTGTCTCATCGCTCTAATAATTTGTTTTCTGAGAACAACTTTAATAGTGGGAGACTGAGACCGCGAAGACAGTGAACATCCTTATTTCTTGCTTTATGTTTTTTGAATCAGGGTTCCAACATCTCAGGATTGAGCTTCTTGTTGCAGTGGGGATTGGCACAGACGGAACCATTCATTTTCTAAAAAATATAATATTTCCTTAATGGGAGCCATAAATTAATGCTTAATAATAGACTAAATTTCAGCTTAATTATCCTGTGCTCTCCAGCTCTCATACTTATTGCGTATCAGGTGAAAGTACAGAACTCCAGGTTCCAGATTTGTTCAAAAGAATGGGGAGTTAAAAGAAGATTCCCCTGCTAAACACACACCATTTTCATTTGGTAATTGTACTAACTTACTCTAATACTTACAGTTTAAATACAGTAGACAGACAGAGGAAGAATTAGTATACCAAAACCAGAAAGTGTAATGAATTATAGCAGCAAGAAATGAGAATAATCAAATATTGGATGAAATTCCACTCTCATTTACTCCTGTATAATAGTTTCTTCTGGTGACTGGTATGTGAATGTGGCCTCTTCTATATTTTTTTTTATACAAAGAATTATACGTTTTATAGACTCCAACATTTGGTTAATGGTTACTAAATCTAGCATTTACAGAGACATTAGGAAAGATGGTATTTATTTGCAATTTCATTTCCCTCATAGTGAAACGTGGAATCCATACAGCTGTACGCTGAAGATGATTAGAATTGCTAGAAATGAAGGCCTCCTGGGAAAAAAAAATATCAATAGCATAGTTTAACTACATGAACCATAATTGCATTATTAGCTCTGCTGTGCACTACCACAGGAAAGCTAATGACATGATTCTGAAGAAGCTTTATAGATTATGGAAAGCTGTATAACCTCTTGCGCTCCCATTGACAACCCAACTCATTTGAGATCCCTGCCATTGTGGCAAGGAAAACTGCCTCGTTTTTCACAAACCTTTGTGAATATGTCTTTTTATGGATTTTAAATACTAACTGTATGTGTGCCCACAGACCAGTAGCTGAAATAACAAGTAACCATTTGTTTAACCTTAGCTGTGGCAAATTTAGCAGTGAATTACATTTTCAGTCCCAGTCCAACAAATAAAATGACACTTGCAAAAGCAGAGAGGAAGAGGAGCTCCCCACTCCAGGCAGGCGCTGGCTGTGTCGGAGAGGTAGCAAGAGGATTACTATCATAAACTGTCACTGAAATGAAATGTCTATTTTTTTCAGAGTTATTTCAGTGTACTTACTGCTAAATCAATCTCACTACAGTTTACTAGCAGGATTCCAGCTTAAAAGCAGAAGACCAAAATAATTTTCATTACATTCTAACAATATGCAATAGCTATTTCCCTGTGAGTCACTCCCGCTTTGTCCCTGTATTTTCTCCTTCCACCCGGTCCCCAAGTTGCAAAGATGTAAATATATGAAAACCATGACTTTTTCAGCAGTTACTGAAATAGAAGAAATGCGTAATCAAGATTGTTAAGTCTGGAAACACAAAACTGCCCAAGATACAATCCTATGATACAGGGCCTGGGAGACATCTCATCTCCTCCATCGTGTCACATATAGCCAACTGGCACACATTTGCTCTTTAGCTCCTTGATGACCTGCAACAACCAATATATGTTGGTTTTACTTTATGTGCGCTCTCAAAGGAACCATTTCACCACCATATGATAATCAGCAATTTCTTTTTTCACTGGGAAGGTTTAAAAGTGAATTTGTGAGCTCCATGGGAACTGAAAGAGAACCGACCTCAGGGTGTTTCTCCACGCACAGCTCAAAGGTGGGCATGATTCATTTCACCCATTTTGGGTCTTGGATGACTTCACCACTATGCACCGAGGAACCCTGGGCATTGCGGTGGCGGTTCCTAGGCAGGTTCAGAGCAGGCCAGCCCGGCTTGGCTGTTCTTTCAGATCCCAGCACTCCGTACGTCGGCAGGTTTGCTCCCTCTCCTGGGTGCAGTACTGCTTCTGCCCTTCTTGACACCATAAGTCCATGAAGGAGCTGAGAGCACAAGGGGGAAGACTTGCCTTTCAACTGGATGTGGGGAAGCAGGATAAAAAAAAAACCTAAATAGAATAAGAGCCCTAAATTCCCAGCAAAATGGCCTATCATTGTTTACGCTCTATCTTCTTACTGCTGAGGTGACTTACCACTCTGCAACCTATTAATACATCATGCCCACTTCTGCTTGGAAAGGGTGAGCTTACTGGACAAAGCACTAACGTGCTAAATGAAGTTCCATAACAAGGGAATTCCTAAATGGACATACAATTGTGATGTACACAAGATCCACTGGATAAAAGTCTTATTTGCAGAGATTACTGGAAAACAATGTTGTATGAATGCCTGGAGCTTTTTTAACTGGGTCCTGAGGAATCGTGCCTGTTTCCATGTTTATAGTTTCTACTGTCAAATTCTGCTGGGTTTACTTATGTGTGGTAAAATGTTGCCATCAAGTGGCCATTTATTCAATTACAGAGCCCCTCTCCCCTCTGGGGCAGGCTGCTTGCCTTGCCTTAGGTGATGACTTTCTACGTTAAACTGTCTGGTAGGTAAATGTATTAACTCCACTGCTACTACTTATGCAATTACATTACTCAAGAACACTTTTGATCCCAATTGCTTTGAATCTGCAAAAAGAAGGAGGAGATTTAAAGCATCTAAATTAGCAGCGTCTGACCTCTTTATTAAGAAAAGCCAGACACATTTTTCCTCTGCAGCAGAGGAGCATAACACATAATTCTAATTCTACTAAGAGAAAGCACGTAGGGAAGCATTCCTCTTAATGCCATTGTACATACTGCCTTACAAACCATAGGGGGCATTATGTTACCATGGTTTGTTCTCCTAATTTATCAATTTAGAATGATGCTCCATTATTTTCATATTCTTCAAACACTCAAAAGCCCTATATTTACACCAACTCAAGAAATAAATGCAGAAAACTGTGTTCTGCATGTTCTGCTGTCTCAAAAGTCCTTTTCAGGTCATTAAAAGTGTGGGATTAGCACCCTTTCTTATCATCTGCAACTTAATTTAGATCTATTTACAAGTCTGAAATGTGCAGACTAATCTGTAAAGTGCCAAAAATCTGTTGCTGAGTACGAAGAAAGCAAGGGAGTAACCTTTAGGAATAGAGGAGAAAGACAATATAACTTTAGAGTGCTGGGCTCTGCATAGCTTGAGAGTGTTCCCCCACTGTTGGCTTGAAAAGAAACGCAGCCGCAGGGGTGATGGGAGAGGGCGGGATGGCTCTGGCCCAGCTCGGCTCCACCAGTGCCTTCACACGGCACATCAGGCACACGCAGGAGAACCTGCAAATCTGCAACAGCCACCCAAATTACTTTGGCTTTCTCACCGAGTCCCAGCCAGTTTCCCAGTTCCCTGCCATGTTGTGCGTACATCCCCACCGCAGAGGCGGGAAAAGCCCCGGGCACCGAAGGCCGAGTGGTGCCCTGGGGCCCACCGCGCGGGAGCCTGCGGGAAGAGTCACGCATCTCTTTCTACAACTGCAGTGGTTTAAAACATCACTATCCTCATTCAAGCTCTCATATGGCTGCGTAATGGCCAACAGGTCTGTAAAACGGTGTTTTCCCTAAGCCTTTTTTGAGCCTGCACTCCGGTTTGCTAGCACAGCTCACACAGCCGGGTGTGGGGTGGCCGCGGAGGGAGGGCTAACCTGCGAATTGTTACAGCTGCTTCCAAAGCCCAATTTAATAATCTTTTGCATGCTTTCTGCAGAAAGAAGTTTTGGGGATCTTGTAAGCGGAAAATTAAAGACAATCTCAAAATTGGCTCACAATTTTTGTTTACAGGAATTACCTTGAAGGCAGCAAGAAAGAAGCCTTTCAAATGGAATATTCACTGTGACATAGCCCAAATTTAGGTAAAAAAGCAGGTACTAATTAACAACCTTGGTGTTGAATCTGAAGTTATTTTAAACTTTAGACTAACAGGAAAAGGTTAATTGAAGAAAAGATCCTCAAGTCATGTAACTGACTTCCCTTAGGCTAAGAAATCATAAAAAACAAAAATGGGCAGTTAGTAGATTGTTTTAACAATAAATATTTAGACCACTTCAGAACAAATGCCACCTCGTGAGGATGGGATTTGATACCCTGCATGGCATCAAGAGATCCACACAGTTTCTTGTTCAAATAAAGACTTGCAGAAAAAAAAAATAAATAAATAACAGGAGAAACAGTTAAAATCAAAAGTACTGGATTGTAAAATGGTAACTGAGTCTTGG